GAGCGCCTCAGCAGAACAGCAAGTCGCCATTACTTTCCAATAAGTTTTCAAGATAAAGCACGAGAAGCAGCTAGCAAGATAAGCAAAGGAAAAAGACCTACAGAACCTTCGAAAGGCAAAGCAAGTCACATGACTTGTGGTAACCCGCCTCGTTTTCATACTTGCAGGGAACACCGCAGACCGCCGAGCATCGCAGGCTTACACACTTTCGACAAYGTCGATAGATAGATAGATAGATAGAAAACCGAAACCTAGACTCGGTCTACCTTGCAGGTAGCCCGAGTAATGCGTTTGTTTTGTATGAGACTATCTTGTCGAGATTGCTCTGTCGTGTGCTCTTACTTGGGCCCGGACTTGATTAAGACGGCAGAAAATTTGTTGTATCAACTTGAGCCACGAGGAAAAGAAATTATTATGGTTTATATGATGATRTAATCCACTAGTGAAAATGGCATCAGGCTAGGACAGTTGACAGGAAGCATGATTTGTGGCACGATTCCAACAATTAACCCCAGGGGGGAAGGCCTAGTGGCCCACAGCAGCACGTCACAAATTGGTCAGCCGTTTTGTTTTAGCAACTCGCTGTCAAGATCGGCCATGAAAACTGTTATTCCACTGTTTAGAGATGTATAATGAAAGCTCTAACAGTTAAATGAACTGATAAATTCAGTAAATTAAAAACTTACTGCATAAAATGCGAAAAATAATTCGCCCTACTAGGGGAGGGGAAGTGGCCCACAGAAGCACGACAGAAATTGGTCATCCGTTTTTTTTTTTTGCAATTTCGCTGTTAAGAACGGCCATGAAAACTGTTATTCCACTGCTTAGAGATGTATAATGAAAGCTCTAACAGTTAAATGAACTGATAGATTCAGTAAATTAAAAACTTACTGCATAAAATGCGAAAAATGGTTCGCCCTACCAGGGGATGGGAAGTGGTTCAAGCTACGCGATAGCATAGTGGTTAGCCGTCTATCGACGGACTAACCACAAAAATTAGTCTCCAATACCTTTCAGAATTTCTCAAGGAATTCCTCAGTAGTACATTTTCTCGTAAAACTGAATAGTTTGATTTGTCAACTTAATAAATCTTGCTTGTCACTGCCGATCTCGTGTACTCATGAAGTCATTACAATCTGACCAATCAGGAATCGCATGCCGAAATAGCCTCAGGCTTGCGCGCGGAGCTAAAAATAGATTTTCAAAAAATCTTTCATAGGGCGAAGAGATGCGCCTTAATATGCAGCCCGTAAAGTCCTCCACCGAACGTAATTGTAAAGCGCATTGGGACAATTTGAAATGCGCTATATAAGAACCTTTCATTATTATTCATTATTATTCAATTTTTACTTACATTACACTAGCTATTAGCCTTTTCGAAGTGGTAGGAATGCGTTATGAAGCTTTTTTCAGTGACGCTTTATCAGTCAGTTAACATTTTATGAATCAAGAAAGGAAACAAATTCGAAAAAAAAAAAATTTCGAAAATTAACACACTTTTAAACTTTTAAATCAGCAAACAAAACTGAAGTCATTAAGTATTAAAGCGTTCCCTTAAAGCAATATTCCATGATGCAAAATTTCATGTTCATCAAGACAGAGTCACAACGAAATTGTTTATAATTCAGTGTACTTTATTTTTGTCAAGTTTATTTTTAAAGCMCAAAGTTTATCTTAGAGTCGATATAACTAAATTATTGGAAAGACTTTTTAGTAGGAGTCACTATTATTCCCCAAACGAAAATTCAAACTAAATCGTGCTTTACGCACATATTTCGTTCTTCTTTATTTTGTTACTTTCTTGTCTTTTCAATAGCCCGCTTCCGAGATATGCTTCGCTTGTCACGCACAAAGGTTTCAGTACGAGGCTACGTGCTAAATGCTCAGTCATTCTTGACAGGCGGCAAGAATTAATTTAATTTAGCACGTAGCCTCATACTGAAACCTTTGTGCGTGACAAGCGAAGCATATCTCGGAGGTGGGCTATTACAATCTTACAACAGTGTTCATATTCTCAAAGCATAGCTTTCATTGCTAGTTTGACAATACTGTCAGTATCGAACTAAAGAGTCTCTCACTGTCAAGTAATAACTAAATGAGCTTGAACAATCATAGTTGCATTGGCTGGCTCGTGTGGCTCTCCTTCGTATCCTCCTTGCTCTTGGCGATACTTACAACCTTGTCTAGAACATGCCATAAACATGTTCCTTTTACAAAGTCATTGTCCACCAAGTTAACTAGGTAGAAGGTGTTAATGATTTCATTGATGACCTTCCTGGAGCGAGATTCCTCAGGGTACAAGCGACCCCATTGCTGCTCCCACAAGGAGAACGCTTCATCCTATAAGATATAAGTTGTATCAAAAGCATGCAATGCTTGAAATTGTTTCTTTACGACTACACACTGAATAATCAAGAGAGAGAGAGAAAGAAAGAAAGATTAGACAAAAATTAAAGTAAAGTGAAGAATAAAAAACATTTCATTTCCTTGACGGTTCCAAGTGTAAATATTTTTGGTTATATGTTAGAAAAGACGCTTATCTTAGTGTTAATTTGATTACATGTTAGAAAAGAATTCTATCTTAGTGTAATTTGGTTATATGTTTGAAAAGAATAATCAATTATCTTAGTGTAATTTGGTTATATGTTAGACAAGAAGTGCTATGGACAAACAGAAAGAAAGAATGAGGGAGAAAGAAAGAGGGAGTAAGCAGAGAAGCAATAAGAGGTCCCCCCCCCCCCCCCAAAACACTTCTATCCCTTACTTTCCATGCTATTTCCATGCTCCTTGTCATTAATAATTAACAAGTTTTTAAAACATTATTAGCTTTAGTAACATTATCATTAGTAAGACAACAAACTTTTTATCAATAATCATAGCAAAGTTATACATTGTATTAACTACGGTAAAAACTACTTATTATTATAATAGAGTGCAAACAATATAACCGTGAAACTTTAGTAATACTAAATAGCACAATTTCATGCAAATTCCATTGTTTTCTATTGTTTAATTAACACTATTTTGTACTTTTGTACTTTAGTAATTTCTTTTCATCTTTTCACGGTGTATAATTCACCTTTTTATCATTACTATTTTGTACTATTTAGTAATTCGTGTTTCAARGATTAATTGTTTGCACTCTACAAAAAAAATATGTCTAAATAGTATTATATTAGCCTCCTCCGCAGGCTACTCCATATATTCTCCGTTGGGACCCCTGTGTTAAATCTTATGGCAGATAAGAACTAGGAACGAAAAACGAGAGAGGAGGAGTGGGGACAAGGGAGGAAGGGAAAAGCGAGGAGTATTTTTGTCTTCACCACAGGGAACCCAAGGAGCAAAAGGAGATCAAAAAGAGCCATGGAGATGCCTGCRTAGAAGGCTAGTATTATATTACTATCATGAGGGCTGGTGGTATTGGTACTGGTCTGCAAAGGAAAGGCTGGAAGAGGTTGGACCAGACTGCCTCGGTCTGCGATCAGCTCACATGTCTACCCTGGACCTCGATACACAGTGGGCGAACCTACCGCCTGAAGAAAGCCGCGGAGGAATAATCCACAAATGTTTATACATTACAGTTCGACTACATTAACCAAGGCCACCCAAACAAATYTYAAATCAAATSCACRAATCCCATTATTGCAGCAGGATGATGAMAAATTCTGGATATCAAACTGTTTCATGTTCTCTTCTGATCATACACACACACGTATAAAGACAAATATCTACKTTTAAAGGGGAAAATGGGAACAATCGTGCAGATTCTAGATAATGTTTAAATACTAAAGACTGAATCGTGATTTGCTAATTTATTGATATGAAACTTTCTTTGGGTGGTCTTGGTTGGAGTAGTCACACTGTAACTACTTGATAGTTAACATGATAATAAAATACTACAAATGATGCATGGTGATTATGTTTAAAGGACTCAAAATGGGATTCCTCAGTGTTTTCTCACAAGGTAAAATTCTTATGGGTGGAAAAATGGACATTATCATTTAATTTTGCCCCAACACACACAGCGGGGTCGCTGGAACTGTTACAATGTCATTACTTTTCTTTATACAGGCTTATGCATGACACCGAAACAAATTACTAAAAAGATCTCCTTMATGGAAATGAAAAATCAGACGAACAGTTATGCTTTTTTTATTTTTACGAAATTAATTTTAAGGGCAATAAAAAGCATTGAAAATTTGCCTAGTGARCAGCCCCCCTCCAAGTCCATTTCATAAGAACTTTGAAAGACTTTTTGAAAATTTTAAAGACTTTTTGAAAAGCAGAATTTTAGTCCACTTTTATTAAATAGCTAATTAATAACGTTCGCTAAAGGATTTTGCCAATGTCGTTTCTATCCCTTAGCCACCCAAAAACATTTAGTTTAGCACCGTCTGATAATTCCTACTTCCATTGAAAGGTTAACTCCATTAAAATGTAATGTCCATTTTTGAAAGTTACAATGATTTTGAAATAAACTGACAATACATTAAAAAATAGTTATACAATGTATGTATATATAGTTATTATCCATACCTTCCAGATCTTGAAGCTTATTGGATCAACCACTGTTGGCTGCATGATTTCTTTACCAGGAAACACACCCCATGTCACAGCAACTGGTGTATCCTGGTGGCAGTTTGTGATGTCAACTGTGCCCTTAAAAAAGAGTAAGGTTGAAATAATAAGCTACTACTGTACCTACCATCAACCTACTGACACCCTATTATCAACCTTCTGACACACTACCATCAAGCTACTGACACCCTACCATCAAACTACTGACACCCTACCATCAACCTGCTGACACCCTACCATCAACCTACTGACATCCTATCATCAACCTACTGACATCCGACCATCAACCTACTGA